AAATTAGTTTTATATGGAAAACAAATATTTCATTTATAGAACAGAAATGATTAAGAGCTTGCGTACTTGTAGTTAATAATATTCCGTCAACAGCAATGTAATATTTTTGTTGTTGTTGTTACAGACAATAGCCATAAAATATAAATCCTAAAAATAAAAGATGGGTCCGATCTTATTTTTAATAAACTTAAGTCTTTGGCATCTGTATTGATTTCTTTTGGGTTCCAGTTTTTTAATTTTTTCAGTATTTATTTTTCAAGGACTTTGATAAATGTAAACCACAATGCTATCCGCCTCGGTACACAATTGAAAATTATCAAATTAAAAAGTTGGGGGTGCAATTGTGTGAAGAAGAGTCCCTACAATTTTGAAGAGACCGCTTTAAAAGATATATGCCCAAAGTTCTATTAAAATCCAATAATTAAGTGAATATTCGTCGATTTTTAGAATCGACGTGTTTTTACGCCGCTCTCCCCGTCATCAAACGGTAATAATATTTTTATAATTAAAATGTTTTTACAGAGTAAACGGCATTTTTAAACTCAAATATTTCCCATTCTTTTTATGAGATTTTTTCGATTCTTTCATATTTCGATTATTAGGGAAAATTACCGTTAAAACTTACTTGCACAGCATTTTTTTCTCCGTGTTACAATAATAGTCATCTGAGGTGCCATTGTAAATACTAAGTTGATGTCCGTTACATTTTGAATCTCTTTAATACAAAATATTTTTTTTTCTTTTTTTTTTTTTTCACTCTGGTTGCTAAAAAGGTCTGGGGATTGGGAGGACATTGCGAGAAACTCTGGAATTCAGATCTCGTCCCAGATATGGCGGTCGGGAAAATGACGTATGACTTGTCCATTTTTATTTTTTATTTTGACCCTCTCATTTGACCTTTTCCAACACTCTTAACCTTAGTCAATATTTCATTTTTATTAAGTAAAAGACTAAACATTTTAGTACGGAATCGTGATCATTTGTGAGCCAGTGTGTAAACATGGCGAAGGAAGCTACTTCAAAGTCAAAGGATGTGCAGTTGTATTAGACAGTAGATAATAAAGTAGACTATCAACAAAATCTCTCTCTTTCTCGTATATAACACATTTTAGAAAATTCTCTGATACCAGACATGTGAGAAGAAATTTGGGTAGATGAAACTGTTTGTAAGCTATCCGTTGTTGTGCTAGCACACTCACCAGTCATCGTGACCATTTGTTTGAGTGTATTAGTATTGTTCAACTACTGATCACGTCAGATTGTGCACTCTCTCTCTCTCTCTCTCTCTCTCTCTCTCTCTCTCTTAAAAAAACAAACAAACAAAAAAATGTATTCTCTGTATATTTGTACAATAAAGCCTAGGTCAATTCTGTGGGTACTGAATAAAAACATTTGCTCGCAACTGAAATTAGCTAGTTGCCCAATGTGACGGACAAACTTCATCAATATATTGGAGGGATAGATTTCTTCTGAGAAATGCCCCCCCCCCCCAACACATACATGAGTTTTGCTGCTTTTTGTGATCCAAAAGAGTAGTACTTTTTACTTAGCAAAAAGACAAATCATATTAAGAGCTACATGCGATATAAAGTTGTGGAGAGCCATAAGACACGTCCTTAAAGGACACTGAATAAAGGAGATATCGTATGGGACTGGGAGCAATCTTCAATACAAGTCGACTTAACATCGTGACTATTATCTATGTGTTTGAAAAGCAAAGAAGAAATGCCAGTCAAAGATGAAAGTAACCATATACTGAATTTAGAGTATGAACTTAATCTACAATGAATTGGAAATATTTTATATTTAATAATTAACTTTTTAGTCAGGTTACACTGTCTACCTTGCCCCACATCCGCCAGAACGAATCTTCTTAGCAAGATTTTAAGCCCCGTTACACTATGAAAATCGAATCAAATCTATTAGCAACTTCAGTCGTGTCAATACGTTGTTGTTCATCACGATTTCCGTCTGCATTGCTATTACCACATGGCTTTCAACAGTTGCCGCGTCGTCGAGAGAGAGTGTAAAAAGTTCTGGGTGTGCATTTTAGATTAATTCTTTTATTGTTATTTCTCAATACCTTTTAAAACTTTTTTTTTTTTTTTTTTTTTTTAAGAGCAGATGGAAACTAAATAGCGACAAGTAAAAATGCGTGTGAAAGAGAAAAAAAAAAAAAAGACTAAAACTACGCGGGGAAGAAATGAAAACGCTGATTATTAAGCTTTTTCTTATCCAAATGGGAAGTAACCGCTTGGGGATCAAAATCACTACAGTAGTAATGGCTTCTTTTTTTATTTTAAAGCTTACACTACAGCAAGGTGCCCAGAAGAAAAATAAGTATTTGATCAGTGTTTTGATTGAATTGTGTAATGAATGTATCTTAATATTTAAAAGCAATGTCATGTCTTATGAAATACCAGCTGCAACTGTAGGTATTTCACGGGTGTTGACAGTTAAGATTATTCTTATCGTAGCTTGCATGTGGCACAAGGCCGAAAGTAAGGGGCACCCAGTGAGGATCGAATTCGCTACTCAGTCGTAATTGTTCTAGCGAGACAAGCTTGCTAACAATGACACCACCTTGAAGTGCTGATCCTTTCTCTCTTGCATCGGTTCTTCTCTTTTGACTATCTTCTTCTCTCTCTTCACACTTCCAATCTTTGTCGCCCATTCATATTTCTATCTCTCCTATACAAAATTGTTTATTTTTATACTCCAATATGAAATGCACAGATATTTTCTACTGAATTCCTCGTTTATTTTCTCGGTTACTCGTTCCATAAATAATTTTAATAGAATGTAATTTTACGCTCGTCAATCTTTCACTCACTCTCTTAGTATTTTGTCAGCCCCTCTTTCTCTCTCATTTTATATATATATATTGTATGTGTAATCCTTTCACGGTGGTTTTCTTACATTACATTTTTCCTACCCTTCTCATTTTCCTCTAGTTTCACTTCCTTCCCACTTATGTAAATTTCCTGGTCATAAACCATAATTGATGCCAGCTCTGTGTAAAAAACGACTGCATGTCTTCAGTTACATTATGAACTTATATATATATATATATAATATATATATATATATATATATATATATATATATATATATATATATATATATATATATATATATATAATTTTTTTTTTTTTTTAAATACGAATCTTTTAGTAATTTCAATTCTAAAATACCATTAATATTTCATTTTTTTGCCTGTTAAGTACGAAACGTTAATTACGTAACGTTATTATATTTTTAACTCTTATCCTCGTCTTCATATTATCTTTTGCATACTGCTTTGACTAATATTTGCTTTCCACCTATGCTATTTAGTCTCAAAAATGAAATCATAATCGGAACATGGAATGTTAGTACACTCTACAAAAGGCGGAACGTTAGAAAAATAAAGCAAAATGGAAATCTGAATTTTTCATTTCTGGGAGTATGCAAAATTAGATGAAAAAAAAAAAAAAAAAAAGGATATTTTACGAGCGACAAACTAGTAATCCTACATACCGGGAGGGAGAGAAAATGAGAGCAGGAGTCTTACTAGTCTTTATCTAATATTAGTCAAAGTTCTGGGATACCGGCAACGGTCAATGTTCTGGTAAAACAGGAAAACATAATTTCATAGTGGTATGTTTGTTTGGTGCTTCGCGAACACTCCAGTAATAACTAATAATTCGTCTAAAAAAAAAAAAAACACCCGAGATGCTTTTGGACGTAAGTCAGGAAGGAGACCTAAAAGAAATGCCTAACGATTTAGAAATACAGACTAGCGCTTTCTGTGATGGCTATCACACTTAGTAAATAATTTAATACAAATTAAATTTACAAAAATTAAAGAAATCTAAAGCCACGACGATGCTACGCTACGACAAATTTCGGAATGATCCAATTTGGAAACGAACTTATGCAATCGTATTTAAGAATAAATATGAATCTTAAGGAAAGCATTATTGAAAATAGTGAAGTACGTCATCCATCCGGAATAGAGAACAAAAAACAAACAAAAAAAAAAGCGGATGACCGGTTAAATTTTCAATCTAATAAAAGAAATCAGTTAACAAAAATGGCGTCTAATATATTAAACAAAACCTTAGAAAATAGTTTAAGAAAACAAAAGCTGACTGGTGTAACGGGAAATGTGCTCTTTCGCAGGATGCATAAAATCTGGAAAGACCATTATAGTGGGCTGGGTGAGATACGACCGTGACGGGACGACTACACCGGAAAGCTCTTCCATATGACGAAGAGAAACCTCTAATACATTTATACACATGAAATCGTATTAAGGTCTGTGTGTAGGGCAGGACTAGCCAAGATGACGAGAAAGAAATCGACAGAACAAAATGAAATTGCAATAGAAATATTGACAGCTTTAAACAATTTCTGGATTAGAGCAAGCAATACAAATGCAAACGGTTAATATCCGTTTCATAGATTATATAAAACATCTGATAGGGTATAACGTGAATTGCTTGAAATATCTAGAAAGCTTGATTTCATACAGAAGTTACTCGATTAATTTATAACCCGCTACTGAGGACAAACAGCTTGCATGCAGATAGAACGAATTTAGTGAACACAAGAAAATAGAGAAAAGAGTACTCCAATGATGCTTTTTAAATATAGGATCGTTTCGTTGAAAGATCCTAAGACGAGAAAGTCTACAAGGATTTATCAGTTGACATGTCTTTAAACAGTTGATTTACTTATTGGTTAGTTTTCTATAGCTTATAAGGCCTTTTAGGGTTAGTTAAATCTATAAAATATTTTTAGATTCCAAGAATTTTTTTTTTTCTTGGCGATAAGTTTAATGATACGAGTCTTACTAATTAATCCATACCTGGGGGAGAATGTGGATTCATACCTTTCTCAAGGTTATTTGCGCATATGTGAATATAACGAATCCAACGGGAATTCGAATTCGGCTCTCCGATTAACAATTCCAGGTCATTATGAATTACACCACCCTCACATCGAAGCTTACGTCTGTAATTCCTAATCGGTCTTGCATCTAGGTACTGACTAGGCTTGACGTTGCTTAACTTTGGTGATCGTACGGAAACCGGTGTTTCAACGTGATATGGTCGTAAGCCGCATCACGTTGATGGCAGACTCAGAAAGAAACCTAAAAGAGCTTAGACAACATAGTCGAGGAAAGAGAGAACTAACAATTAACTGTATGTAGACACAATGCAAAGAAAGCCAAAAAGATAACTAAAGTTGCGAACTTGGTATTAAGGTCCTCAAGATCAAGTAATTACAGAAATTCAAATCTACAGTGTTGCAACGGCCGACAGATGGCGTGACACAAAAATCCCAAAGCGCATAAAAATAGCGAATGGTGTCTTTTAGAAACTAAACAAGGTATTAAGACTTAGCAAAATATCTTCAGAAACAAAAGATTGAACAATGTAATAGCTATATGGCAGTGGATGTTGGCCAATCTCCTTATAGACGAAGACAGCTTGACAGATGTGGTTCAGCTAACGAATGCTGAGAATAACGTGGACTGAGCAAGGGAATAATGGGGAAGTTTTGAGAACAAGTCTACAAGGAAACTTCTGCTAGCAATCAAAAAGATATGATTTGGGGGGGGGCATAAAGGAAGAAAAGTCGAATAATTTAACTCTGAATGTAAAAGAGGCAAGAGAAATAGCCTTAGCCAACTTCACGAGATTAAGTGAATGGATAGCAGGACAAATGATGTAGGGAAGGTGTTACTTAGAGCTTCAGAAGCAGAAACTTGTGGAATGTGATGAATCGTCTAGATCCTGAAAGAACATACCATGTAATATGACAAAAATCTCCGGTGAATCTTCACTGTTATTTTTTTTTCTCTACATACGTCAATGAAAAAAAAAAACTTTATAGTTGACTTCATAACTTGCTTAAAAATAGTTTCACTAATTTGATTATATCTAGCGCCTTTTCCTGTTCGCATAAAGGAATAATCGAGTTTATATTTATTATGTTTCTAGTGTGAAATAAAACTGGAAGCTGTAACGACTACCAAAGTCAACACATTTTCTCGCATAACTATATTTCCTGGTCATACTTAAACCTATTTTATTAAAATGACACTCGAAATAAAAAAGCAAAAGAGTAGGTTAGGCTCTATATGAAGAACATTATAGTCCATATTATTAATAGTAGTATGTTTCTTTAACTGATATGTCCCGATTAAGGATGTAGGCGATCATGGCTCTCTACAGACTCCTTTTCTTTATCTGCTGTTATTACTTCTTGGGAAAGATAGTGGTTTCTCATTACCTTCTCTACGGTTTGAATTACTTTTAATTCTTCCCCTAGACAGGTTACCACCCAAAACGAAAGAACTCTGGCTATCCTGTTATTTAACCCAATACCCGGGAGTTTGAAGAGTTAGATTTGTGTCTATCCCCAAAGACATTTCTGTGGAACTTAACGCAAAAGACTAGGTTGGAATTCGAACTCTGCTCTCTGGTCCCACTCTTCACGGCGTTAATCTTGACGTTGACCAATACTTTTAGATTGAAGAATTGATCTGAAAACTGTTCCTCCGATACTCCTTTTCTTTTAATCATTTCACCATAGGAAAGGCAACAAAGCTACTAAGATGCAGGTGGTTACAAAGTAAAAGAATATAAGAAAAGAATAAATTAAGATAACCATTGACATCTGTATTCATGACGTCACATTGTCTTTAATCCTGTTTTGTCTGTTTCGTGATCTTCTCGGTTTCCGTTTTTATAATATGCTTTCTGTGAAATAATATACATAGTCATAAATTGGCAATAACTGGACCTTACCAAAACTGCTACTACCTGAATCTGCTGAGTTGGTCATGGGGAAAGGGTTCATTGACCTTCTCCAACCATCATGACGGTATCTCTTTGTCATCTGGCTATGGGATGGATATAACACAGGGAAAAGTGGATTCACGACTTTCTCAGAGACATGTGTAAAGTGACCATAAATTACCCCTGGTGAAATTTGATCCGTCTTTGCCGATCTGTTTTCTGTATTGTCAGAGACTGAATACGAAGTGGGTTTCATAAAACTAAAACTAAAAAGAAGTTGATGCCCCCACCCCTATGAAAAAGAAAAAGGAAGCTCTGATGAGTAGATTTATATTCATTACCAGCATTTAGACGCTGTCACTAAATAGCTTTTTTCCCTTTGTAGCCTGAAGGAGAGTGTCAAACCTTTAACTTCCGGCAGTGCTTGCCAACCAGCCTAAAGGTGAACCAATCATAACGCTCCAAATAAAAGATACCGGATTTACCTTAACCAAATTATTATCTCTATTTTTTCCCCTCCTTCTTCTCCTCCCCCTCCTTCTTCTCCTCCCTTACCCCCCATACTTTCTTTACATTACCAAACAAGTATTTAACTTGCTAGACACATTCCGTGCATGGGTTATGCCGTCTAATCTGTCATTACTGCCTCTGATTACTTGTTACCTTTTTATAAGATGAAATGAAAAATTTAACACTTCCGTCCTGAAACACATTACCGGTCCTGAAAGTATGCAGACATTGGATTTATGTAAAAAAAAAAAAAAAAATAAAAAAAAAAAAATAAAAAAATTCCTTAAAATACACACTCATTCCAAGCTACAAATTTCATGATTTCTCTATTGAAATTATTTTATTTTTGTAATTTTTTTTTTTTTTTATCAATTCACCCCAAGCAAGGCGATGATGCCACTAAGACGCAAGGCGCGACAAGGAGTGAAAGAGAATAAGTCTTTCGAAGGAACCGGAAATACAGTCCTAAAAAAGAAACAAGGGATAAACCTCTACTTTTGTTCAAAAGACTGAGAAGGCTGAACTGAACTATAATTGAACCTATCTACTCCTATTGAGAAAAATACATAAATAGTAATTCAATTTCAGTGTTGGAGACGTTAGAATATACAGTTGAAGTCTTTAGACCCAATTCTAAACGGGGGAAACAATGGATAAACCTCTACTCCTGTTCAAAAGACCGAGGAGGGGTGTGAACTATTGAAAAGAAAAAATAAAATTTCAGTGTAGTCAGATACATTAGAAGTATGGAGTTGAAGTAGATTTTTTTTTTATTTTGTTCTTGTCTGAATAATTACTGTGACAACGTAATTAAGCAAAACGAAAGCGTTTGAACGAAAGATATCTGTACATTCATCAATAATATTATATAATGTATAATCTTACTTAACTGAAATTGAAGTCATTATCATTCTAAGAGTTTTGTTATAATCTCCATGTGAACCCAAATTGTTGTAAGGGGAATCGGCTTAAACAGTGTTGCCACAACAAAAGCAAAAAAGTTTAATTACGCAAATAATTCACATAATTTTGATTTTGAACTGGGTTTTTTTGCTTACCTTAATTTTGAAGTCCTTAACCTGTTAACATTTTTAACGTTTCAATTTTTGTGTTTAGCTTTTCGTTAAAAAAAAAGGAAAATATTTTATTTGATCTTTCAACCCCACCCCAATACAAAGGACATTAAAAGTAAGAAAGTATGTGTTTCCATACTTGTTTGAACAAGTATGGAAAAAAACTGAAAACATTGATTTACGCACATAAGTCAACAAAGTTGTGCAAATATCACCAAAGTAAATTTGCACATTTTCTATGTTTGCACAAGGAGTTACCGCTATTTTGCAAACGTATAACACAGGAGCATAAGATGAATTATCTTGTCACCAAACTGATTACTTATTAAGATGTTATCTTGTCTGTGACAGTGAATAGGTTTAATTAATTCATTCATTAATTAAACAAATGTTTCATGAGTTCCATATGTTTCAATATGCCCAGTAGCGTTTATATAAGTGGGTGCTGAAAGATTCTCTTGATCCTTTTCTAAAAATTTCAAAACCTCATTTTAACAAAACTTCATCCACCTTCACTATATCCTTGTAAATAATTACATCTATATTAGATTTCATTTTGAAATTCAATTATCTCGGAGGTCCTCCAACACATTTTTAAACGGTTATAGCAAAGTCACAAAACTCATAAATTATTGGAGGTTTTGTTTAAAAATCGGGAAAAATCTAAAATCATTGTATAAACGGATAGAATGTTTTATTTAATGCTTTACTATCAGTGATATGTGACTTTAATCGACATTTTCTTTATTAAGCATAGTCACCGACAAAAGTGACGGAATAATTAAATATGGATCGGGACTTCAAGCTAAACTCGGTATCGCTTCCCGCCCCACTTCCGAAGATCGCCACCCCACAAATACACACGTTGTCTAATATATAATGTTAGTGTGGGTACCTCCACGAAATTTTGTTTAGAAATCTTGTTTTTCTTGCGGACCAAAGATTATAGGAAATTTAGCTTTTTTTTTTTTTTTTTTTTTTGTGAAAAACTCATTGATTTGGTAATTTTTGCAAAAATCAAGTAATTGCCAGATTTTATTTTATTGAAACTTTCAGTACTTCTTCACAAATGGATAAAATTATTTTAGATATGATTTTTTTGTTTTTCATAAATTTAATTTCTCCCCTGCCATTATTTAATTTTATGAAATTTAATTTTTGTACTGCTTAATGTTATACGCAGAACTCCTTGGAGAATTTAAATCCTCAATTTTATTTTTTTTTTTTTTTTTTTTTTATATAAGCAGGTCTCAAGTTACCGAAGATCTGCTTTGAATTGTAAAATAAAAAAAAATGTAATAAAACTAAGACATTAGAAAAAGCTTTCAATTACTTTTATGAATGAGATATATTATGAAAAGTATTAAGAAAAATAATTTTGGATGAATTTTTACAAGAATTGTTTTCATTTTCTCTCAATTAGAATAATTTACAGTTTTAAATCTTTTAAATATCTGTATTATTTTGTACCGATTAGTTGATATTGTTATTATGAATTATATTTACTAATCATAAATAAAAATTCAACAACCCTTCCAATATTTTAAAATGAATTTTGAATGTGATGTGTATAATCGTGCTGATTTTTTGTAAATATGGACACGATATTATCAGAAAATAAGAGCTATAGTAAATTTAAAGCCAAAGTATCTAAAATTCAATAATCAATTAGATTATGGAGAATATTTTCATAAATTTTTAAGATTACTAGGTAGTTAAAAAAATTAT